TTCCTTTCAGTTCTATAAATTTTTACTTAAGTATTTTGAAGCTCTTTTATTAGGTACCTAAGCATTTAGGATTATCACGTCCATTGACCGTTATCATTACTAAATGACTATCTTTCTCCCTGGTTATATTCTTTGCTCTGAATTCTACTTTGCCTGATATTAAAATAACCGTTCTAGCTTTTTTTCATTAATACTAGAATGATAAAACTTCTTCCATTTTTTTAACTTTTAACCTATTTGTATCTTTAAAGCACATTTCTTGTAGTCATCATGTAGTTGAGTCTTGATTTTTTAACCAATCTGACAAGTTCTCCCTTTTAATTGGGATTTTTAGATATTTCATATGATTATTGCTTTTGTTAGGTTTGAGTCCATCATCTCACTATTTTCTATCTGTTCTTTTGTTTGTTTGTTATTTTTGTTTCTATTTGTTATTTCCATTTGTCTTTTGTTTCTTTTTTCCTTTTCTGCCTTCTTTTGGATTTTTACAAGCCTGGCTGGCGGGAACAGGCACTATTTCTGGCCCTTTATAAGCACCAAGCACTATTCCCTTTAATCCTTTCAGATGGCTCATTTCCCGACCTCAGGTAGTTTCCACACATGCATGCACTGATCAGCACTCTGAATATTCCAAGGGGACTGTCTACAGCTCTCTGGGGTTCTCTCTCTATGTAATTCACCCCTCTCTGCTTTTCTATGAATTCTAGCTGCTTTGCTTTCCCCACTCTCAATCCTGTCTCAACTCAGGAACTCTATCAAGTTCTGCTTCAGTTCTCCCTCCCTGCACCACGGCCTGGAAACTCTCTCGAGGCAGTAAGCTTGGGCAATTGTAGGACTCTCTTTGTTTGTTTCCCATCTCTCAGGGATTACTGTCTTTCATTGCCTCATATCCAGTGTCTTGAAAACTGCTGTTTCATATATTTTGTCTTTTTTGTTTTTAATGTGGTTTCGGGCAACAAAGTAAATCCAGTCCATGTTACTCCATCTTGGTTAGAAGCGCAAGTCCTCACTTCTCAATTTTAAAAATTACTCTAAAGCACCAATAAGCAAGACTACAGTATTGGTGAAGTGACAGATACATAGATCAATGGAACATAATAGAGAGTCCAGAAATAGAGCCAAACAAATATGGCAAACTGATTTTTATTTATTTATTTTTTTTGGTGAGGAAGATCAGCTCTGAGCTAACATCCACGCCAATCCTCCTCTTTTTGCTGAGGAAGACCGGCCCTGAGCTAACATCTATTGCCAATCCTCCTCCTTTTTTTCTTTTTTCCTCCTTTTCTCCCCAAAGCCCCAGTAGATAGTTGTATGTCATAGTTGCACATCCTTCTAGTTGCTGTATGTGGGACGCCGCCTCAGCATGGCCGGACAAGCGGTGTGTCGGTGCGTGCCCGGGATCCGAACCCCAGCCGCCAGTAGCGGAGCGTGTGCACATAACCGCTAAGCCACGGAGCAGGCCCCTGGCAAACTGATTTTTGACAAAGGTGCAAAGACAATTCAAAAAGGGTAGATTTTTCGACAATGGTGTTGAAACCATTGGACATCTATATGCATAAAAATAAACCTCAACGTAAATATCACAACTTGTACAAAAATTAACTCAAAATGGATTATGAATATAAATATAAAACAAAACTATAGAACTTTCAGAAGGAAATATAGGAGAACACCTTCATGACTGGGGATTAGGTAAAAAGTTCTCAGACATGACACCAAAATCACGATCCATAAAAGAAAAAAACTGACCAATTGTAGTTCATCAAAATTAAAAACTACAAGAAATACTGCGAAAAGAATGAAAAGACAAGCTACAGATAGAGGGAAAAATACTTGCAAATAATATATTTGACAAAGGACTTGTATTCCAAATATACAATGAACTCACAAAACTCAACACTAAGAAAACGAACAACTTAATTTTAAAATGGTCAAAACACTTGAACTTCACCAGAGAGGATATGTGGGTGACTGCTATAGGCTGAATGTTTGTCTCCCCACAAAATTCATATGCTGAAAGCCTAACACCCAATGTGATGGTATTAGTAGCCTTTGTGGGGCCTTTGGGAGGTGATTAGGTGATGAGGGCTAAGCTCTCATGAACGGAATTAGTGTCTTTATAAAAGAGGCCCCAGAGAGCTTGCTCGGCCCTCACCATGTGAGGACACAGCAGGAAGTCAGCAGTCTGCAACTGGGAAGAAGGCTTGCACCAGAACCAGAACACGCTGGCACCTTAATGTTGGACTTCCAGTCTCCAGAACTGTGAGAAATAAATTTCTGTTGTTTATAGGCCACACAGTCTGTGGTATTTTGTTATAGCAGCCTGAATGGACTAAAACAGTGACATAATAAGCAAATGAAAAGATGTTCAACATTAACAGCCATTAGAGAGATAAAACCTAAAACCATGATCAGACACTATCGCACACCTAACAGAATGGTGAAAATAAAAAATACTGACAATAGTAAGTGCTGTCAAGTATGTGAAGCAACTGGAACTCTAAACATTGATAGAAATGCAAAATGGTATAGCAATTCTGGAAAATAGTTTGGCAGTTTCTTATAGAACATACACTTAACCATACAATCCAGCAATCCTAGACCTAAGTATTTACTCAAGAAATGGAAATATATTTTCAAACAAAACCTGTACACAAATATTTAACTGTTCTATTTACAATCACAAAAAAAATGGAAACAACCTAAATATTCTTTGACAGGTAAGTGGTTTAAAAAAAATGTGGCACATTCCATACAATGTAATACTACTCAGCAATAAAAGGAAATCAACTTTGATATACACAATTTGGATCAATCTCAAAGGCATTATAGTGAGCGAAAGAAGTTCCAAAAGGTTACACACTGTGTGATTTTATTTATATGATATTCTCGAAAGAAGAAAACGAGAATGTCAGAGAACTGATCAATGGCTGGCAGGGGTTAGAGGTGAGAGGAGGCTATAACTACAAATGGATAGTATGAAGGAGTATTGGAAGCGATGGAAGTGTATCCCGATTGTGATGAAAATTACATAAATCTATTCATCGGTTAAAATTCACAGAGCTGTACATCTTTTTAAAAAGTTGATTTTACTGTATGTTAATTCTAAAAGTTAAATTTTAAAAAAAAACTTTACAAAAAACCTAACACTGAACGGTGACAACTAGTTGGCCAGATATTCTGAGAAGAAGCATTCCAGAGTGAACAGCTAAAACAAATCTCTGAGGCTTGAATGTGCCTGGTATATTCAAGGAATAGTAAGGAGGTCAAGGTGCCTGAAGTGAAATGAGCAGAGGATGAGTAGAGGAGAGAAGGTCGGAGATATAATGGGGGACCAGATCACGTAAGGTGTTTATGCCATTGTAAGGACTTGGGCATTTGAGCGAAATGAGGAGCCATTGCAGGGTTTTGAGCAGCAGAGTAATATAAACTGATTTAATGTTTTAAAAGGATCACTGATTTCTGTGTTGAAAATAGATTGGCAGCAGGGAGGAGAGGTAGAAGAGGGAAGACATCTTAGGAAGCTCTTTCAATAATCTAGGTGACAATGATGGTGGCTCAGCCGAGAGTGGTTGTGACAGATGTGGTGAGAAACAGTTGGAGTCTAGATGTATTTCAAAGGTAGACCCAAGAAAATTTTCTGATGGATTGGATTGAGAGATAAAGGTGTCAAAGATGACTCCAAGTTTTCTGGCCTGAGCAACCAAAAGAATGGAAACTGGCATCAATTGAAAAGAGGACAGCTTTACATGGAACAGGTTCTGGGGAAAGAACAGTAGTTCCATTTTGAATATGCAGAGTTTGAGATTTTATTAGACAGCCAAGTGGAAATTTCACATTTGGCTGGAAAGACTCAGGTGCATCCAGTGGCCTTGGGCATACTGACAGCACTGTGTGGTCCTTTGGGTGGAGTGGAATTGTGGAAAGTTCTGAATCACAGTGAGGATTGTGCTATGGGAAGTTCACTCAGACTGGAAGGCGCGGTCACTTGTGAGTTACATGTTCAGTGGCAATATTTTTGCCCTGGTGTTGATTCAGAGGTGAAGCTCATTTGATTTATTCCTCAAGACTTTCTCTGTTTCAGGATATAAGATTTTTAATGGTGAAGAATGAGTCTCTGAGAACAAAATCTTAGATGAATCTGTCTTTTCTTGAAGTACTCATTTGAGATTATTCTTTCCTCATTGTCTATCTTTGCTGTAATTGGTAGAGTGAGGCTGGATTGTTCAGTGGATACAATGGCACATTACCATAATGCAGTGTTCTGACTGAGAACAGAAGGTGGATGGCTGCATATATTAATATTCAAAAGATTTACATTAAACACATCTTGAGATATTCTTCCACCCCCCTACATTAAAAAGGCGAATTTTTTCAAGGACAGTATTGATATGAAAACATCACCTTCTTTATCAATTTAGTATCCTTCAAGGTATTTGAAATTCGTTAATATCTCAAGGGATATTGTTAATCATTGTTACCTTAGTCCTATTATATAGTATCAGAAATAACAAGACCTAAATAATTTAATAGAATTTCATTTAATAAGTATATTTAAAGTTCATCTCTTCCAAAAACAGCATTTTAATTACATTCAAATTGTATTCATATTAAATATCAACAAACTCATCATTTATATACAAGGGTAGATATTAGAAAACAGATGGAAATTAAAACAAGTTTTATTTCTTAAACGTCCTTACTTCCAGATTTAGAACACCATGAACTGCTAAATATATACCTAAACAAAATGTATACATTATCAGAAAAACACAAGGTGTTCTAATAGGAAAAGAACTGTAATACACATACAGTGGAACATAATTCACATAGGCTCAATTTACAGGTATGTCTCAAAGTATAAAACAAACAAGAAAAACCCAATAACTACAAATACAGGCAAAAATCACAGCTGACATTCAAAACTAATGCACGAACATATAATGCTTTCCCAGAGAAAGTAGAAGGGTTCAAGATTTTATGCTGACCCACGACTTTTCGCTTCTTTGTTCTCAAATACAGAAGCAAAGGACTTAGGTTGTTTTTGTCTTTAAATTAGATTCATGTTGGTTTTTTGTTATATAGCAATGACCCAAATGTATCATGACATGTGCTACCAAACTTGTTCTATTTAGAGCTCAGTAACCAAGATATTTCTTTCATTTTTCGCTGTATTTCTATTCCCCTTCTTAGGAAACTTTATAGACAACGGTGGTAAAGAGATCAAACCAAATAATTCTGAGATGGCAAAGAAATATGAAAGTTGGCACTAATACAGGTGTACAAAAAAATTACCCTGTTTACTAAACCATAAGTACAAAACAAGTGAAATCATATCCAAAAACATATGTAAAGGATAAAAAGTACTAGAAAACACATAGAAGGCATTTAGATTTGCAGTGCTTGTGGACTTCAGTTTGGGAGACATACAGCAACCAAGCTACCACTAACTGTTGAGCACTTTTTTTAACTTGTATAACTTGTTTAATTTCTCAACTTGTCTAAATCAAGTTTCCCTAGCCAAAACAAAGAGGTCATAATTACTGTGCTCATATAAGAGATGTGTGAAGGCTGTAACACGGAAAGAAAGAAGGAGTATGGTACACATCAGGTTAAAAGACGCCGGACCAGGAATAAAACTAAACACTGAATCTGATCTGATCAAAGACAGAGAGAAACTCGGCCTTTCTTCAGATTTTACTGCATTTCATAATCACAGAAAAAGAACAACCCTCCTTTTTTTTCTTAATGTGTCTCAGGTTAAAAATAGCAGAATGAATAGTCCTTAATCAGCCCACACTATTTTGAAAAGGGATATTTTTAGAATTTGGTTGTTTGCTTGTTTGTTTTTTAATGATAAATCTTAAGAGTTGACTCTTCTAAAATAGTGCTCAGATGTATTGATATATTCAGGCCTTTCTTAAAATAAAAAATTTAATTTGCATTAAAAAAAATCCTAAATAAGAGTTATAAGTCAATGTTTTAAACAAATTAAATGTTTAACTTCAAATTATGTTTAAAATAACTGCTGTTGTGTCAAATAATGAAACTACTACTATTTTATTCAATTATAAACATATTGACAAACATTACATAATCATTCCCTATGATCACTATAAAAACTAAAGCTATCCTTTTCTATTTTATATGAAGATGGTGGTCCTAAAGCAACACTCTAAACCAGAAAAGCCCATTCATAACACACAACCCCATCTCAGTTTTTGGAAGTCAGTGCATTCAGTGGTTATAAACAGGCATGATGTTCTTCCGCAGCTAAGAGTTCTGGAAGGGTAAAAAAAAAAAAAAACGTAAGATAATCTGCAAGATATCCTTAACGATCACAAATACTGCCAGTACTCAAAGTCAAGTATGGTATAACCTGAGTGTCAATCAGTTGTGTTTTTTTCTCCCAATGGAAGGCGTTCCCATAACTGGAGCAACTGTTCACCAACCTGGGGCTCTAGTTCCTAGATAAATCAAAAGTCAGAATAAACATAAAAAGAACTGGATTGAACTTTTTTAATCACCAAAACCTATACTGATAAAAATGTAAGAAAGTCACTTTAAATTTCATTTTTCTACCAGAACATGTTAAAATCATATGGCGTATGTTGCTCTAATTCTTTGCATTAAGGTTTATAGAGTTGACTTCCAAACTTCAAGACTGTAGTTAACCTGCAAATACCACAACTATTTGTGACAAAATGGTGAGAGATTTCCATGGAATTCTTCTAAATTTTTTTCTATCTGCAAATAATGAATTTGTTTTTTTTGTGAGTTTTTTCCAATTATTTTATTGAAATCATAAAGGTTTATAACATTGTATAATTTTCGGTGTAAGGAATTTTGTTTTTAATGGAGATTTAGCAAAAGCACAGAGCTTGAACTTCCCAAGGCTTACTGTGAAACCTAATATATTAGATGTTTTGGGGGTTTTTTCCAAGAACCTATCTTAGGTGACTATATAATATTCTTATCATTAGGATAAGGAATTAGATTTATTTCAAAATCATTATTATAGAATAAAAATGAAAATATTCTTATACAATTGAAAAGAATGTCATTTATAGTTCTCTTGTGATATGATGTGCATTTAAAAAGAACCTGAACACTTTTCATACGGTGATTGAATGGAATCACACTAGTTCAAATAAATATTAGCTACGTGACCTTAGGCAAAACTGAGTCTATTTTCTCCTACATAAAACTGAGCTAATAACTCATTTTATGCATTAAATGAAATTACCTCGTATAAAGCAGCTAGCACAGTAGTCCATATATGTTAATTCCCTTCACCTTAACTAGTTTAAAATGCATTTCAGCAGCATCATGAAGGCAAAGCAAAACATAATAGAAATAAAACAAGCCACAAAAATATGAAAAGGTTGTTATTTGTTACATAATTAGTTAAAGCCATAAAGAAGTTAGATACTGTTGTTATCCTTGGACTTTAGTGAAATTACTTCAGAATTACACTTAGTTTTGATCATATCTTTAGTTAGTAAGACAACAAGAGCCTCCATGAAGTAACTTATGAGAGATTTTATATATGCAATGACAGAGGGAAGCCAAATTTACAAAATGTTAAAAAAGCAATGAGCTCTGTCAGACACATTTGCAAGTAGGTTTTTACTAGCTCTTTTACAAATCTGAACCACTATCTCCCATGTGCATATGGAATCTACAATTTGTATTCTTACATTTGCTCCTCAAACAAATCACTGAATAACAGCAAAACAAAAAGAAAAGTAGAAGAAAAAATATTAAATGTCATTATATACCTGCCCATCTCTGCTTATCTGGACTTTCTTGTTGTCATTCCAAGGATTGAGTAAATGGTGTGCAAACTGAAAGGGAAGACTTTCTTTTCGTATCCACTCCACCTTAAACACTCCTCCTAATCCAGCTGAGCCCCAGTCCTGGCTCTTCTCCCTTCCTATCTCAGAAGACATCCTAGAAAATCCCTATGGGTAAAATGAGCCAGAAGAGGAAAGGTGAGGATGATATTAAAATGTCTGAATTCAATTTATCTGAGAAAGCTCTGAGTTTTTTTTAAGATAAAAATAATAGCTATCTAACAAAAACAAAAAGTAAGCTACTTCTTAAATGTTTTTTATAATAAGATGTATTAGCAAATTTTAGAGAAAAGACCAATCCCAGCTTTCTAACATAATTTCAAATATGAACAGATATTTTCTAAATAATGTATCAACAGTTCTAAACTGACATTTAATCCATGATAAGTGGATAAAACCCAACCTCTAAGTTTTTACTTCTGAAATTTATAGTAATATCAAATAATAAATTCATTATTTTGTAAATTCAAATATATATCAAGTCAAGATGAGTTAAGAAACACACTCAGTTTCTTGATTGTTAATACCAACTTCCTTGGCCTATTTAAATAAACATTTTACCAAAAAGTCAAGCTTCTCATTACTTTTAATCCACCTGAAAAATAGTAAATCTAAAGTTGTCTTCAGAAGGAGAAATTGTTTATCTGCAGAGGTTCTGGTATGACAAGGCAAAAACAAAGGGATCCCTATTTATCATTCCCTTGAAGAAATGCAATATATTCCTCATTCTCAGCAAAGCAAAATGCACTCTTGCATTCTGATGCAATAAAAAGCCAGGTCTTTGGGTTTTTTTATCTCTATGTGCTAACCTGCAGTCAAAACAACCCCACTTTACTACTTCAGGACGGCTCACCTGGAAATGTCCAGATCCTTGAACAGAAAATATCAAGTAAACCATGCTGCTTTCCCAAAAGGCTCGATTTAACTTCCGCTCATTACTAGGGGTTGTAGACCAGATACCCTTCTGTTGAGAAATTTCAAGGTTTCTCAAATTGCTACTCTTCATTATGAAGTATCGAATAGGCATGTTTGGTCTTGGTGAAGGAGATTTTGAGCCCTATAAAAGAATTGCATAAGGTCTTGAAAGGTAACTTGACCTTTCAAAATCAATAGGCTCCATTAAAAAACATTTTCATAAACATATAAACCAAAATATTTTACCAAATATTCAACAAATGCAAATAGTTCTATCATACCTGAAATCCTTCACAAGGCTGAATTAAAATGAGGTTAAAGAGCAAAACCAAGTACTCATTTTCAGAGCATTCAAAATCCATTATCAGTAAAGGATCCTGGATTACCAACTTTGATTTATATTCCAAACATACTTTCAGAAAATATTTTAATAAACTTTCAAAGCCTGAAAACAAAACAGAAATTGCTCCAGCTTACTGCCTGGATACAGTTTCCAGGCTACAGTGCAGGGAAGGGAAACACAAAGAATCCAATGGTCTTGCTGAATTGAAGAGAGAGAGCTTGAAGTTTAGAGGCCAAGGTCGTTAGAATTTGCATGGCCGTGTACTAGATAGAAGGGAGCTGCATGGAAAGAGAACTCCCAGGGAACAGCAGAGGGGTCCCCACACGTTTTTGGCTAAGTATTGACCAGCACATGAGTGAGAAAAAACGACCCGAGGCCAGGGAAAGATCCAAAGGAAGAGAGTAGACCGAACAATTCCCAAAGTTCACACATGATTGGGAATCTTGCATGTTATCCCCAGCCAGAATGGAAATGATTTGTAATGCATAGGGCATTAGCCAACAGAAGGATCATGCCTTATTGGAATTATATTAGTACCAGAATAAAAACTGCTCTGGACCTACCCTAACACTGCTTAAAAGTAACTACCAAAAGGATTAAACTCATTGCAACTAACTAACTGTGTACCGGAACAATGTCTAGCACTATCTAAAGGAATGTAACAAAAATCTAGCAGCCAAACAAAATTAAAGGAATGCAAAGAAACAGGAGAAAATGACCCATAACCAGGAAAAAAATTAATCAATAGGAACAGACTCAGATCTGACAGAGGACAGAATTAGGAGACAAGGTCGTTAAAGTAGCTATTACAAATATGTTCACAATGTTCAAGAAGGTAAAGGAAACGTGAACATGATGATAAAAGAAACGAAAGGTATTTTTTAAAGACCCAAAGGGTGCTCTAGAGATAAAAATGTAATATTTTAAGTGAAAATACACTAGAAAGAATGCACAGCATATTAGATGCTACAAATAAAAACATCAATGAACTTAAAGACAGAGCAATAGAAACTATATCAAATGAAGCAAAGAGACAAAAACAAATGAAAAAAATTAAGAGAGTGACCTGCGGAACAATATCAAGTGGACTTACATTTTTGTATCCAGAGTCCCAGAAAGGAAGGGGGGAGGTGAAATATAAAAAATATGTGAAGAAATAATGGACTTAAATTATCCAAAATTGGTGGAAACTATAAACACACAGATTGAAGGAGAAACATAAAGAGAACTAGACCAAGTCATATCAAAATCAAATTGCTGAAAACCAGTGATAAAAAGAAGATCTTAAAAGCAGATAGAGGAAAAAAGATACATTATATACAGAGAAACAAAGATAAAAATAATAGTAAACTTTCTATCAGATACTACGTAAACCAGAAGATAATGAAGTGACATCTTTATAGTAATGAAAGAAAATCACTGTCAATCCAGAATTATACATACAGTAAAAATATCTTCCTAAAATAAAAGTTAAAAAGGCTTTTCAGACAAAAGCTTAAATAATTCATTTCCAGCAGATCTATACTAGAAGAAATGTTAAAAGAAGGTTTTCAGGCAGAAAGATAGGACCCAAGATAGAAATTCGTATCAACACAAAAGAATAAAGAGCCAGGAAATGGTAAATATTGAGTAAATATAAAAGACATTTTTCTGACTTCTGTTAAAAGATAATTGACTATGTAAGTAAAAAATAATACATTGTGGCATTTATAACATATGTAGAAATAAAATGTATGAAACCAACAACACAAAGGACAGAAGGGTAAAATAAAAGTACACTGCTGTAAGGTTTTCAAATTATACCTGAAGTGGCATAATACTGATTCAAGATACACTAAGGAAAGCTAAAAATGGCTTCACTAGTACCAAACATTTAAGGAAGAAATAATATCAATTCTACAAATCTATTCCAAATAACCGAAGTGGAACAAAAACTTCCCAACACTACAGGTGGCCAGCATTACACTGATACCAAAACCATATAAAGATAACACAAGAAAAGAGAACTACAGAATATCTCTCATGAACAAAGATCTCTCATTTAACAAAATTTTTGAACAAAATCAAATCCAGCAATATTTAAAAAGGATAATACATCATGACCAAGTGAGGTGTAAACATCAGAAAATCAATCAATGAAATCCACTGTATTAATAGATCAAAAAAAAAGAATTGTGTTATCATTTCAATAGATGTAAAAAAAGCATTAAGTATAATTCAGCTCTTATTCATAATAAACCCTGTCAGCAAACTAGATCCAAAAGGAAACGTCCCACAGTTACATTATGCTAAACGCTGAAAGAATTAAGGCTTTCTTTCCCTCTAAGGTCAAGGCAAAAAAGTCTGCTCTCAACACTTTTATTAAACATTTTACTGGAGGTTCTAGCCAGAGAGCAACCACACTGGAAAGGAAACAACTAAAACTACCTTTATTAACAGACGACATGATTATCCATGTAGAAAATTCTAAGAAATCTACATAAAAAGCTAATGGAACTAGTAAATGAAGTAAGATCATGGGATATAGGGTAAATATACAAAATTCAAATGTATTTTTATATGCTAGCAATGAACAATTGGAAATTAAAATTTTAAAAAACACAATAAAAAATATAACATACTTAAGGATAAACTTAACAAAAAACATATAATACCTGAACTCTGAAATTTATAAAACACTGCTGAGAGAAATTAAAGAATATCTAAATAAATGCAGATATGTACCATGCTGAAGGATTGGAAGACTAAAAAGTTTTAATTGTCGATTTTTCTCAAACTGATTGACAGGTTCAACACAATTCCACTCAAAATACCAAAAAATTTTTCTGTAAAAATTGGCAAGCTTTTTCTAAAGTTTATATGAAAGCACAAAGGACCTAGAATAGCCAAAACAATTTTGAAAAAGAAGAACAGAGTTGGAGAAAAAACATTAACTGATTTCAAGACTTACTATAAAGCTACTATCATCAAGTCACTGTAGCATTGGCAAAAAGAGAAGTACAGAGATCAATGATACAGGATAGAGTCCAATAAACTGACCACATATTTATGGTCAATTCACTTTTGACAAAGGTGCCAAGGTAACTATTCAATGGAAAAAGGATAATCTTTTCAATAATGGTGCTTAGAACAATTGTATAGGCAAACGCCAAAAAATGATCCTTCCCCTATCCATACCATAAACAAAAATTAACTCGAAATAGATCATATACCTAAATGTAAGAGCTCCAACTATAAAATTTCTAGAAGAAAACATATGAGAGCCTGGCCCCGTGGCTTAGCGGTTAAGTGCACGCACTCCACTACTGGCGGCCTGGGTTCGGATCCCAGGCACGCACCAACGCGCCACTTCTCCGGCCAAGCTGAGGCCGCGTCCCACATACAGCAACTAGAAGGATGTGCAACTATGACATACAACTATCTACTGGGGCTTTGGGGGAAAAAAAAAAGGAGGAGGATTGGCAATAGATAGATGTCAGCTCAGAGCCGGTCCTCCTCAGCAAAAAGAGGAGGATTAGCATGGATGTTAGCTCAGGGCTGATCTTCCTCACAAAAAAAAAAAAAGAAGAAGAAAAGAAAACATATGAGAAAATCTTTGTAATCTTGGGTTAGACAAAGATTTCTTAGGACACAAAAAATACAAACCGTAATAGAAAAAACAGATGAAATCAAAATAGAAAGAAATAGATTAAACAGACCTCATCAAAATTAAAAACATTTGCTCTTCAAAAGACACTGCTAAGAAAATGAAAATGCAAGCACAGACTGTCAGAAAAAATTTGCAAAACATATATAATTAAGACTTGTATTCAGAATATATTTAAAAAAACTCTTACTACTAAATAAAAAAAGACATACAACCAATAAACAACCCAAAAAAGTTGAAGAAAAATTTGAACAGATACTTCACCAAAGAAGATGCAGGAATGGTAAATAAGCACATGAAAAGATGCTCAACATCATTAGTCACTGTGGAAATGCAAATTAAAACTACAATGGGATATCACTATATACCCACCAGAATGGCTACAATTAAAAAGACTAATAATGTCAAGCATTGTCAAGAATATGGAGCAAATGGAACTCTCATAGATTACTGAAGGGAATGAAAAATAATACAGCCATTTTGGAAAACAACTGAGTAGTTTCTTATAAAGTTAAACATACACTTACCATACAACCCAACAATCCTACTCCTGGTATTTATTCAAGAATAGAACACATATTTACATGCAAAGATTTGTACTCGAATATTAGAGCAGCTTTATTCATAACAGCCAAAAAGTGCAAACAATCCAAATGTCCATCAACTGGTAAATGGATAAACAGACTGTGGTACGTCCATGCAATAGAATACTATTCAGCAATAAAAAGTAATAAACTAATAATACACTCAATAATATGGATGAATTTCAAAAGTGAAATAAGCTAGACACAAAAAGCTACATACATATGATCCTATTTACCGGAAATTCCAGAAAAGGCAAAACCCTAGGGACAAAGAGCAACTCAGTGGTTGCCAGGAGCCAGGGAATATGGGAATGTTCTGTATATGACTGTGGTACAGTTACATGATTGTATACATTTGCATACAATTCACTGAACTGTACAGTTTAAATTTGTGAATTTTATTGTGTGTAAATTATACCTTAATAAAGGTATTTAAAAATAAAAAACGTAAAACCTAAGAATGTAAATCTACAAAAAACATTTCTTTTCCTCTTATTAAACAAGAGTGTTTCAGCAGACATTATCACCAGAAAATAACATATAACTAAGTAGCCCTAATCAAATATTCACTTCTGTACTAACAATGCAGAAAAGTAAAAGTAAACATATTCTAAACATTTGAAATCATTCATATTACAAATTTTTAAAAAGATACATAGTTCTCAATTCCCTACCAACACTTCCTATCTTCCTAACCCCATCCTGCCTTGTAGTTTTTAATATAACCATTGAATTGGAGAAATCAATTAACAATGTAAAGAAACCATACTTTCAATTCTGAAATTACAAACTAAAATTAATTTAAGATAACCTTCTTGTTATTTGTTTTAACAAAAAAAGGTTCTGAAGATACAGAAAGAAAATAATGAATAGCCTAGCTACATTCCATCAGTGAATGATCTGTTAGTTTTAAAACACCCCAAGATAGTAATAACTAGAAATATTTGGAAAGCAGAAAAAGCTAAAAAATTTACTCAAGGTGTCTCAAGTTTGCCAGCTTCAATTTATATCTAGAACAGAAGCCATGATTAGTAATTAAAAAGTAGAACTGTTTTATAATTTTGTTTAAATATACAACATTAGATGTGCTACAAATCTGTTCCTTGCCACATTGACTGAAGATACTCTACCTTTCCTGAGGACGGCGGAGAAGGACTAGCACAAGGACTTGGGTAGCTACTGCTGTCTGCAGATTTCACAGAAGATTGATCTGATCGATCATCAGTGCTTCGTTTAGGATGTAAAATTCCTCTATCTTTGTACTTCTGAGGTGGGTGTAGTGCTGGAGATGGAGATTTCATCAATACTCTTGAGTGAGAAGGAGGAAGCAAAGATCAGTTATACATAAGTTCATAAAATAAAGACGCCATTTCAAACCAAAGTTCCCATGACATCATGATTTATGGAATAGTATGTAAAAAGAGAATTTCATTCTTCTACTACATTTAGAAGTTAAAGAACAGTTGGACTATTAGGGTACACTTAGAAAAACAATAGGTAAAAATACATTTAAAACAATCTACAGAAGACTTTAACTTAATATTCACAAATATGCAAGTACTAATTCCCTTACAAAATTCCTAACCTCTTCTACGATGGTATAGGAGAGGTCTTTAACAAGTGTAATATTTTATATTGATAATTTTTGTCTTTTAACATTTTAAAATCATTTAAATACATCTATGCTAATGGCCCTTACTAGACTATCACCCACACCATTTCCCTTCTACTTTCACAGAATATCTTAGAGGCAAGTAAAACAGATTTTAAAGGCATACTAAAAATTACAGTACATTAAAGTGGAAATAATACTGGACAAGAGTCAGGAAAGAAGATTTCTAGGACAGAACTAAATTTACAGTTAACTAGGTATGTGATCCTGGGCAAGTCTCTCAACTTATCTGAGCTTTCATTTCCTTATCTGTTAAATAAAAGGATTATACTAGATAAACTGTAAGATTCTTCTATTCTAAAATTCTATGAATAAATGAAGCAAAGATGGCAGTCAGGAACTTTACAATTTTTTAAAAAGTTTATGTCTTTGTGAACAACTAGAAATTAAAAAAGACATTGAGGGGCCGGCCCCACGGTGTAGCGGTTAAGTGCACGTGCTCTGCTGCTGGCAGCCCGGGTTCAGATGCAGGGTGTGCACCGACGCATCGCTTGTCAGGCCATGCTGTGGCAGCGTCCCACATAAAGTGGAGGAAGATAGGCACAGATGTTAGCCCAGGGCCAGTCTTCCTCAGCAAAAAGAGGAGGATTGGCATGGATGTTAGCTCAGGGCTGATCTTCCTCGCAAAAAAGAAAAGAAAAGAAAATGACAAAAAGAAAACATTGGTTTGAGGGGGCCATCCCAGTGGCATAGTGGTTAAGTTTGCACACTCCACTTCAGTAGCCTGGGGTTCGCTGGTTCAGATCCTGGACACAGACGTACACCCCGCTCATCAAGCTATGCTGTGGCAGCATCCCACATATAAAATAGAGGAAGATTGACACAAATGTTAGCTCAGGGCCAACCTTCCTCACCAAAAAAAATAAAAATAATAATAATCTTCCTAAGATACCTCATTCTATTCCTCACTAAGATTCATCAACTCTAGGCTTTATCTATTAATACTACCAAAAGTCTGAAAGTAGATGAAATTCTATATCCTGCTATTCTACAGGAAAGAGAATGAAGAGTGCCAGGCTGTAACATGTAAGGAAATGAAAATGGCTGATCCCAATATCACAGGTGTAAAAATGAATTTATAAGATAATCAGTTCCTAAAGTATAACTAATATTATACTTTTTAATTCTGATTTTCTTCTGTATTTCCAAATTTTATTAAATGAGTATGTGTTACTTTTATAAAGGAAAAAGGAAGCTTTTGTCTTCTAAAAATGTGTGTGCATGTATGTGTGTGTGTGTGAATATGTGCACACACATTATATACATATGCATTCATACACACACACATATATGTAGTCTCTATGAATCTAACAGATTTTTTATAGACAGATCTAGAAATAACACTACCACACAACAATTTCTATGGAAATGTATTCACACATTCTAAACAATCATTGTTCAAGTAAGCTTTTAGAACAATCTTTTCAAAAAGTAAGGAATGTCTAAGTAGAAAATGTGCTTTTCACTATTCTCCTTTCACTCAGCAGGGTCATCAGAGAGAAAGGTGCAAGCACACACATTATGAGAAGTTTTCTTGGCAACAGGCTGAATTATTCCTAAAATGTAGTATCTGAAGAACGTGGTAACCCATATGTATTATTCCTCTTTAACTGAAGTCTGAACCGATGAAGCCTTTATGCTTCATTCAAATATGCAAAATCTGATCAAAAGAAGGTACTAAAAACCCCATCTGATCCTTGAAAAACAGTAAGCATGACACATCTTTTATGTTTCCGTTGTTTCTATTTTCCAGTTTTTAACAATGAAATCCTATTCTTACCACAGAGACTTTCAATATTGCCAAAACTAGCATCACAGGCAAGAATGTTGTCTTTGTTATCAAGTCTAACAGGGTAAAAAAAAATTTTTTGACTGATATAAAGAAACTTAAATTTGATTCTAACAAATGTTTTAACAATAAGAAATATTCCTGAATCATGGCCTATGATTCATTATAACCACTATTATATTACCAAAATACATTTTTATATAAATAATTCAATATAAGAACTCCCTTATTATTAATAATCATACAATAAACAAAAATATCACATCTAATTGCTAAGTGCTAGAAAGAATAAAAGAATTTGGCTAAACTGTAACAAATTTTGTCACAACAGTAAATTTGTTTACTTATTTATTATACACCTCCTCTCAATAAAATGTAAACCCTCTGAAGGAAGAGATCTTATCTGTTTTGTACATTGCTTTATCCCTCATACCAAGAACAACAGGTATTCAATGTGTCCATGAATGAATGAATGAATGAATGAAGTATTTTTCTGTGGCAATAGTTGTCAGCACTACCGATATCTAGGTAAGACTTGTGGGAAGGTTGTTCTTTTAAATGGCCATAGCCAATACATCTTGCTGTAGGGTATCTAGAATAGATATCACTTGACATATATTAATTAAAATATGTAATAAAAAATGTTGCTATCTTTTTAATAGACCCTAGATTTTTGAATTCTGAAAGTTAAACATCTTGAGTCTTTCCTTATAAAAAATGTCCTTATTAAATAACTCACAGATACCAATAGCTTAAAATCCTTCATATTATCTTAATAGTTATAAGAATTACGTTTTAAAAGTGAAAAACTTCCCATTTTATTGTAACCTCTGTGTATCTTCGATTACAGGAAATTAATTTTTAAATACTATATAAGCACATGATTCTATGATAACTCATTTTCCTGGAGAAAATGTCTTCCGTTTTGATGAAATGTTATAAATTTACCTTTCTGCAGTAGTAGACTCATCAGAAAATTCAGTATCTGCTGAACTTTTCCTACTATTATTTGATCTCCAAGATGATGCCAAAGGAAGTTCTTCTGAAGACATAGGCCTTGGCCTTTGGCCAATTCCAGATGGTTGTTGTAAACCTGCAGACTGTTCTTCAGTGCTTAAAACAGCTATAATAGCTCTTATGGTAGCTTCATCAACTTGAGACCACGGTTTAGACGGAGCTCTCATTCGGCGTAAAAATAAGCTGTGCCACTTCTGTCTGAGCTGCAGCAATAAACTGGCTGCCTGTAATAAAATAGTCTCCTCAGTTCAAATAGAAAAAAGCAAAATGTATATCACACTTGCAAGACACCTATTCATTTATTAGTTAAGGTCTGCAACTGTTTCCAAAGAATATATTTTACATATCATATAATTGACTACTAATTTCATTCTTTTTGTTGCATGAACAAAATAAAATTTGTTACCATATTTTAGGCACTAGAGACACAAAATAAAATGAAACAGTCTAATGAGAGAGAAAATAAACAATGTGTGGCAGAGTGTGATTAATACTGGAAAAGGAACAGAAGGGTAAAAGAAAAATACATTTAGCTCCATTCATACTTTATTTTAGAGCCTATAGAACATCCACAGGATGATGTCCAGAAGGCAGCTGGATTCACAGGTCCAGAAAAGGCCTAAGCTAGAGATATAGACAAACTTCGGAGTCATCAATGCATAAATGGTTACTAAATCTACACATAGAGGCGAGGTCCCTAGAGATTGCGCAGAGACAGTGAAAAGAGAAGAGTAAAACGCAGTACTGGAGAACATCTGACATTTAAGGCACAAACACATACAGAAGAGTCAGTAAAAGAACCTAAGAGACCTCTCTAGAAAGAAGAATCAGGAAAGATTAATGTCACAGTAACTAGTGACAAAGTTGGGACGGGGAAGGGGGAAAGGGAAAGAAAAATGGGGAAGGGCAGAATTACAAAAAGACAGTTATGGACGATACTGCCAAATACGAGAGAAAGGCTGAGTTTATCAAGGCTGGCTTTGACAACATGGAGGACAATGTTGACCTTGGCAAGCACAGTTTCAGAGAAGTGAAATGCTGGAGGAAATGGAGGAGAGACTACAGTAGGTTAAAGTGATGAATGAGTGAGTGATAAAAAAAGTAAACCTAGCCAGTGTCAACTACTGACAGCTTAGCTGCCAAAAAAAAAAAAAAAGATATAGAATGGTCTTTAAAAGTAGAGATGGAATTAAGGGAAGGCTTTGTCAAGAAAATTTTTAACTTGAAAAGAAATATTCATCTTTCCCAATTCAGAGATATATGAAAAGAGAAAACAGAATAAACTCACTATCTTTCTCTTAGAAACAGAGTTATACAAAATAAAGGGAGTTCTTGTGTACCCAATACTCAATATTTTCTTATCTAAACAGAAATATTCTATTACCACACTTAAATACTGAGCCACACCTAGGTTTTTCAAATCTTCTATTAGAATAAACCCCAATATGGCAGGGAATGAAGGCCCTATGAAAACTGAAAAATAAGCTGTATTCTCTAGTACTAAGGGCTCAATATTAAAGATATAATTTTCATCATACTGTGTATCAATTCATACTAACTTAAATGAAAGAAATTTATCACACTAAAAAGCAACTTACCTCAGGCTCTAGTTTGAAATTGAGCCACTCATCAAGTTTCAAAGCTGCCAAATTAGCAGTTGTTCTATCTTCCATTTCACTATCACTACCGTCATTAGAAACACCATCCGCTGTTCAAACAAATATTGAAAGGAAAAAACTTTGACTTTTACCATTTATATCATAGCAAAAAAAAGTAAGTAAATATAAATACTCCATATTTAGTGTATATACATAGTCTATATTTAGTATATCTATATACAGATCCTTTTGATATACTAAAAATTTGTGTGGGGAGTTCTCCAAACCCAACAGGTCACAAATTAAATCTCAATATTTAAAAGGAGAAAAAAAAGACATCGTAAAGACCACACTCTCTAATCACAATGCAACAAAACAAAAATAACACGGACATAAAAACTGAAGCACAATCTTTAAATAATAACTATATGAAGAAGAAAATTAAGAACATAAAGAACAAAATGAAAACATTATATATCAAGTACTATTCATATAAATTCCCAGTTTTCAATTCAAAAAAGTTAGAAACTACATGTTTAAAAACATCTTAGAAAAACAGCATAAAACCTAAAGAAAAATAGAAGAAAATAGTAAGGAAAAAATTATATTACATTAGATAAGATAAAATGATAGTAGTAGTTAAAACTATAATCCAGTTCCTTGAAAAGACTAATAGGCAACTCTCCAGGAAATTTAATAAAGGGAGAAGAAAGCACTAATCTATCTACAAAATAGAAATGAGAATAAGATTACAAAAATTAATCTAAAATGTTTTAAGTTGAAAAGATATAGTATGCATAATTTTAGAAAAATAATTTGAAATCTTCAAAGAAATTCTTCTCTGTAAAACAAACTGAAAGAAGAAGAAATGACTAAAACTGACAGAATAATAGAGAAACCCAGACTGAGGAAGAAATTAAAGATGTCCTTAAAGAACACCAACAAAAAATTCCAGAACACCAAGTCTCTCAGACTTTCAAGGAATCAAATAATGGCCAATTCCTTTAATGAAACAAATCTGAATCTAACCCCAAATGTAATAAAACCTAAAGCCTAACGATACCTGAATGCATGATGTGTGCATGTACACAAACTCTATAGGTCAGCCTCACTAATGAACACAAATATAACAATTTCAAATAAAATGCTAGCAAAATATTCAGCAATGCAATAAATTCTCCTTAATCTACGGAAGGTTTGTTCTTGGCAAGAAATGATAGTTCTGTAAGAAAACATCTATACCACATCAATAGGCTAAACAAATTCTGATTATATGAACAAATGCTCAAAAGCTATTTAATAAATTCAACATATTTTTTAAAACATTAAAAACAGAACAATTCTTCCTTAATTTAATAAAAGTACTTTTATTAAAACAAAAATTAACTTTAACGGTACAAGTTGAGAATTTAAATCTTTAAAATTCAACAAGACAAAGTAGACAATTAACATGGTTTTCCAAAGTCATAAAAAAGCAATAAAAGGAGTAAATTTTGGTAACAAATTAAAATATTACCACCTGAAGGTGATAGAATTTAATACATAGAAAATTCAAAGGATTAATGAGAGCTTACTAAAGCAACAGAGTAAAAACAAATATATTGTTTGTGGTAGTGTTCCTACTAAGCAAGATCAGCAGGAAAATGACATAAAGAGAACTCATTCACCACAATAATTCAAGAACAACAACAAAAATCTTAAGAATCATCTTAAGAAATATTATCCAACCTTCATACAACTTAACAAAAAAAATATATTGCTAAATTTAACAGAAAGTATGGCTACATAGAAGAATATCCTAAACTTTCTGGAAGCAAACACTAAATTAAAATCACAAAAGAATTGTTGGTTGCAGAAAGGGTTACAAGAAGATGACCACTGAATATTCATCATAAAAAAATAGGTAAGATTATCAAAGAATAGCTTAATAACAGAAAGGCAGCAAAGAGTTACAGGTAGATTGTCCACTACCAGATATTAGAACTTATTAAAAAAACAAAACTACTAAACAAGATGGTACAACATAAAGGCAGAAATTTAAAGTAACAGAATATACAGAAAGTTTAAAAATGCCAAATATAATATGCAATAAAGATGCCAAATGTAATATGTAATCACGTAAGCTTTCTAAAAGAGGATACATAAAGATTATTTAATAAATAGTGCAGATGAAGGGAAAGCACTTGGAAAAAAATTAGATCTACACTTCAAACCAGAGTCAGTTCAACATGGTTGAGAAAATTAAATATCTTAAAAATCAAATTACAGAAGAAAAAAAAACAAAAACACAATACTTAGGTCAATAAAAGAAGGAAACTTTCTCAGCTTTGAAAGTGAGTAGTATAGGAAAAGATTATTCAATTTGAATATACAATAAACAAAACAACTCAAAATATGTAAAACTAAAAGAGATAACAGATTATATTAAATATGATGGAAAAAGGGCTAATACCTTTAAAATCATAAAGCTGTAATTCAGATTTTTAAGAGAAACAGCAGTACTTAAATAAATGGGCAAAAGATGAAATAAACAACTCAACTAAAGGGAAATAAAAACAAATGCATGGTGAATTATTTCTTTTTTTTCTTTCTTTTTTTTTTTGCTGAGGAAGATTCGCCCTAAGCTAACATCTGTTGCAATCTTCCTCTTTTTTGCTGAGGAAGGTTCGCCCTGAGCTAACACCTGTTGCCAGTCTTCCTCTATTTTGTATGTGGGCCGCCACCCAAGCATGGCCACCGACAGATGAGTGGTGGAGGTTCACGCCCGGGAACCGAACCTGGGCCACGGAAGCCAACCGTGCCCAACTTAACCACTAGGCCACTGGGGCTGGCCCCGAATTATTTCTTTTTGATAGGAATAAAATTAAAAGTGTAAAGAGCTTTTTTAAAAAATATATTATTTTATTAACATTTTATTAAAATAGCAAATTTCTTTTTTAACACTAGCACCCAATGATGGTGTAGCTGCAATGAAATTCACTCTTGATGGCCCTAATATGTCTATATATGAAGGAAGAACCATAAATAATACTCATATACTTTTATCAAAATTAATTTCCACTTCAAAGAATTTTATCCCAAGGAAAATATTTAACGAAAGCAAAAGGACACACAGATAAAGATGTCAATGTACCAGTGCCCTCACCTTATCCATTCTCTTCTGAGTTACTTACCAGGCTATTTCTACTCTCTCTATACAAACTTAATCCCCTTTGGGCCCCATCACTCCACTGAAACTGCTCTTGTCAAGGTCATCAATGACTGCCATACTACCAAATAAAACACATCATTTTCAGCACACATCTTTTTCAATCTCTCAAAATAACATACAATAGAGCTGACTACTCCTTTGTGAAACCTATTTACCTTCAATACCTGGCTATTCTTTCTTCCTCTACTCAAATTAAAAGTGTAAATAAAAGAACTTCCTCTACTACAAAAATCAGAGAAATTCTAATATTTAGAATTTTTTCTATTTTTTGTCTGATTTTTTATTTTTGTCAAGAACCCTCTCCTCTATTTACACATTCACTTTAAGAAATCCATTCTCAAGCCTTAATATCATCTACAAGCTCATGACTTCCAAATTTGTATTGCTGGCCCAGGCTTCTTCCCTGAGCTCCAGATATGAAAATCCAACTGCCTCCAGAAAAAAATCTTACTTAGGGTGCCTTAGCCATCTCAAACTTAACATGCCTAAAACAGAACTCTTGATTTCTCCCCTACACAACCTGCTCCTCCCAGTTTTCTTAATCTCAAATAAGTGGGATCAATTATTCAGCAAGCTACCACAGCCAAAAACCTGAGAGTTAACGACTCCTCCCTTTCACTCACCACCCACATTCAATCCAGCAGTTACTAGTACCTCCAAAATAATTTTGAATCTACTTCTCTTCAAGTCAGCTGCCACCACTGTAGTTCTGAGCCATTATCATCTGTCGTAAGACCACTGCAAAAGCCTCCTACCTGTCTCCTCCCTTCCATTCTTGCTCCTTCAGCAATCCATTCTCATGGCCAAAAAGATCTTTTTGAACATAAATAACACCATGTCACTCCCTTACGTAAAACCCTTCAATGTCTTCCCTTGCATTTACCATGGCTTACAAGTCCATGCCTTTCTTTCAACCTTATCTCACTCTACTCTCCTCTTGATCATTATGCCCCCAATCACATAACCTTTCTGTCAGTTCCTAGATCATTTCCTAGCACAATCTTGGCCCTTGCCATCTTCTTCTTCCTAGAGATTATTTCTGCATCTTCACATGGCTGACTTCTTCTCATACTTAAGGTCTCAGCTTAAATCACATCTCCTCAGAGAAACTCGTCTACGGTCCCCCTTTCTAAAGTAGGTCACCCTTAAGGCAGCCCTCTTTATTTCCTTCATAGTACCATGCAGATTATTTACTTTTTTGCTGTCTACCCTCAGTATCATGTAAACTCCTGAGGACAGAAACACCTCGTCTATCTCAATGCCTAGCACAATACCTGACATACAGCAGTTGCTCAAAAAATATTTGCTGAATCACCAAAAAGCAAAAAACTGGAAACAATTAAGATGTCCAACTGTAAAGGAACATTTTAAATGCATTATGACACTTTAATGTGATAGAATATTTTGTAGCTGTTAATATAAAATATTAAAAATGTTTTTTATATTCTGTACAATGAAAATAGAATATAAAATAACAGTATGGGTAAAATAATTTAAAATAAGTAAACATATAGAAAAGTATATAATATTAAAAAGTGTTTGCATAAGGGTAATGGTATTATAAGTGACTTATAATTATTCCCTTTAAACAATTACCTTTATTTATGATAAACTATCATTTAAATTGAAGTGGAAGAGACAAACAAACTTTTTTATTATTCCCTTTAAACAATTACCTTTATTTATGATAAACTATCATTTAAATTCAAGTGGAAGAGACAAACAAACTTCCTATCAGCAAGATTAATCAAAAATGCACAAATC